TATACCGAACATTTAGAAACAGTTAGGAATGTCGTGAATACATTTGATCCCAAAAGTGCAGCATCAATTCAAATTGCCCAAGATGTACTAAAAAATGCAGAACTAGAAACTAATCTTTCCTATATATCTGCTCACTTCTCTCATCTTCCATCCGCCATTTCCTCACTGGAGGCAAGCAATAGCAATACTACTTTGTATCAGTCGTTAAGTTTGTTCAAAACCACTGTTTCCAAATTGAATTCGGTTCCTGGAAGAGTTGGTGAAGTAGCAAAGGAAAAAGTACACAGCATTCTTTAAAAAAATCCAGGATATGAACATGTTTGTGAAATTGAAGAAACTTTAGCCGGTAAACGTACTGAACTGCCAAGTAAAAAATCACTAACAGTGGAGCAAATGGCGGCTTTTGTACATGCGCCCCTAAGTTCCTGTGGGGTGGAAAGAAGTTTTTCCCGCTATAAGGACATCTTACCAGACAATAGGAGGCGACTAACTATGGAAAACATTTAGTAATTATGAACTGCAACAGAAGTGAAGTTGAAAGTTCGGAGAGCTAAATGTGAGTACCAATGGTTTTTTAAATTTGTAATAAAATATGTTGGCTTTGTTACATGATTTGTATTTAAGTATAGCTTTTTATTGCAAGTGAATCATTCAGTGATTACATAAAATGAACTTAAACATTGATTTGTTGGTCTTAAAATAATGTAAAATCAATTTTAATATTTGGTACAAGTTTTTATGTGCATATTTTAGTGAATATTTCGGAAGTTTTTCATGCATAAATGCATACATATTTAAGGGAGTATTAGGGCATAAAAATCTGGTCCCTAATTATAGCGATGGAAATGCATGGTTCTGAACTAATCTTTCAGGGATGTAAACCAAGGAAGATGACGTCGGTTATCACATGGCATTCATTCGGATTCTGGGCACGATTGGTTAGAAACAGACGATTCAGATTTAGGTTTCAGTAGTTTATCTTCCCTGCAAATACCGAGAAGTACATTAAACAGTCCATGTCAGGTTTCATATCCTTCATAATTTACAATTTTCGTCTTTATGGTGATTTCATGCATTGTATATAAGACACTGAATCATTTTTAAATTTCTACAGCAGACTATGCCTCGTCGATTTATCGTGCTATCCTATGAAAGTAAGAGAACTACTTCCAAGCAACGTTGACAGTGAAAAATTATGCTTTGCGTGGATTCCGACAAAAAAAATCATAAAATTATTTATCAATTTCGTCACGTCTGTCCGTGTGATAAGAGCAGTGCCAAACTGTGTGAACCCAGTTTAGTTTTCAGTTGTTCCGGCTCGATTTGATTAAGCTTTACTCAAAAACCTACAGGATCGTTCGCATATAGATCCTTACAACTTGACAGATTTTCATGAAAAGTGATATTATTCTTATATTCGTTGTCAACCTTTAATTTGTTTTAATTAATGGTTCTTGCATTACATGACTATTACCGTGCGTAAATTTAATTTCTTTTAAATAATGGCTTTTATGATATATGATTATTATCATATGTACGTTTAATTTGTTTTAATGGGAAAATAATTTATCCTTATTTTTTAATCCTTGATTAAATCTTATAAAACTAGATATGTGGAACTTGTATTATGCTACACTGATATATTGGGATTTTGGACTTTATCCATCGTCCTGGTTTTTAAGATAACTAATAAAAACACGACGTTTCGGAAACTGGATCTGTTTCCGTCCTCAGGTGAAGGAAAACACCTATTCTGTTGGGTCCGTTAGAAAGAGCTAGCCTCAATCACTGGATTGAGTGTTATACACCA